AGGCGAGTATCGCACCGACACCTTGTCGGCTAAGGTGTCGAAAGACACGATACTCCACCTCGGTCTATACGTCGGTGACCGAAGCAGCCCGCCGTGGCTCCGGAACTGTGGGTTGAAAGCCAAGACAGAAGGGAAGAGGAGGGAGCAGAGGAGAGAGGGAAGTGAGCGGATGCTCATGAACAGGATTACAATCACGCACTCTGTCACACACTAGTTATGCCTTTTGACCTTGCGCGTGATCTGTTCCGCATTACATCAGAAGTGGGAGTCAACGTGACAGTGCCGCATCCATGATCTAGACCTGTATGTCTCGTTTCTTCCGTGATTTATGACGACGCGGTATGCACCCAAGTTTCTGACCGGTCGTTGTTGTGCCTGAGACAGCTGCAAGACTACACTGACGCATATCGCGGGCCCGAGAAGATGTCTCACCCCACGCCTGACATCATGGCGGCACGTACGGAGTTGTTCCACCGCATTTCGTGATCTGCAGAGCCCGGAGAGAGTTTTGGTCACTGTCTTCGTGGAGGTCGTTGATCTTTCTTCTACAAACATTCGGCTACAACGATCAATGTCTCGCTTCCTCTCAGTGTTATGGCACAGACTGTTGAACGTCTACAAAATAATCGGAAGGATCACTTAGACTTGACGTCCTGTGTTAGGCCCATTGTTGCGCACGCAATCAAGCTGCATTGACGAGATGTATTAGGTGGTGGGAGGCAATATACAGTGCAAAAACCTAGGTTGTACCTTCTTGCTCCCCTGCAGTGGTCTTGAAATGAAGGATGGGCTCCCGTCTCCACTCTAACCATGGAGCCCCGAATTGCTGAAGATTCTCGTCAGCCGTTTTGCATAATGATCCTCTCGTAAATCGATGTATAGATGGCTCTCGCGAGCGCAGGGATTTCCTCAGTGCGCGGACAATGCATCGCACTGAGAGCTGCTTTCAATGTCTGTAATGCAGAAGGCAAGATAGGTGCTGCCCGTCATCTGCCTCGGACTCAGCGACGACTATAAGCGCATTGGGAACTAAAGCTTGTAGTGTCAGCCTTTTAACCACAACGGTATGCTGGCGAGGTGGGGGCTAAGAGGTGTTGGAGTTCTTCAAATCAGCGTAATCCTACAGGCCGTTGAATGGTCTGAGAGGCTCTCTCAAGCATCCTATGAGGGAGGGTGATGCGAAGGTTTTACCTAGGATATTGGAAACTGTGGACTCTCTGCATCCGCGTAACCACAATAGACGTGGATTATATACGTCGCCAATCGAGACTCGAGATTGGCAGCCGATTGCAACGACTGCCTGCTGATGTTTAAGAAGTCAGGAGCGCACACAGAATGCTTGTAGACAGCTATAATGTTTGAAAAAGGGAGCGCAACTATTATGTAAGTGATTTCGAAAATGTTAAGGGGCGTCATAAAAGGGACAGAGTAGACTCATGGCTTGGTAGCGTATGGGTGAGGCTTTGTGACAGGCATGAACGAATTGTACTCATAGTGGCTGACAAAAGTTATATCCGTTAAGATTTCATCGAGGGGGAGAGGTTAGACAACCATAAGCGCTATGTTTCAGAGGCCTAGACACTTGTGTGGTGCGTGAGTGCGGTATGACAATGTCACCCATGTGGGAAGATGTGCTTTCCTTTCGCGAGGTTTTAAAGAGTCCAAGAAGGCGTGAGCGCCTGTGTATTTCCGAAACACACTTCCCAGCGCTCGATAGTACTTACCAGTCCCTGGTGCGTCATGAAAGGGTCATTTGTATCACCCAAATCTACATCTTGCACATCATCTGCTGGGCCCACGAGTCTTCCCGCCTCTTCAGAGGACGAATACGACGAATACGATGATTCGTACTTGAACAATCTTGACTTTGCACTGTTAGATCGCGAAACAGTTCGAAACGTCGCGCAGCGCGATCACACTCTAGGTGCGAACGTTGAGCGCTGCCAAAGCAAGTCATGGATGTATTCAACTCGTGAGCCCATACATCTTCACCTTACTCAGACCAGCGTCGAGCGCCTCTGACGCCGTTGTAGCGGGTATGAAAGCAAAGAAGATGAAGTTTTCAGTACACGACCCAAAATCCCTCGCCGGAACGGGACTCGTCCCAAGCTCGCTAGCTCCGCGCGAATACCAGAAAACCATAGCAAACCGCGCGCTGTACGATAACGTGCTCGTCGCACTTCCTACCGGGCTGGGGAAGACAATGATTGCGGCCTTGCTGATGTGTTCATGTGAGCGATCTTGTTCTGAAAACAAGCGTTGATGCCTGAAGGCAAGCACGAACGTCTAGACTACGAGCGTTTTGAATCAAAAGGGAAGCTTGTTTTCGTCGCGCCAACAAGACCACTGGTAGCCCAGCAGATGAGAGCATGCCACGAGTCATGCAGTATTCCCAGATCCGACGCGGTGGAGCTCACCGGCGGTGTGCCCAAATTACAGCGGCAGATAGAGGTAGTGTTCTTCTCGCACTGTGTGACAGCAATGACGTCTTATCGATGTGTAGTGGAAGGAGAAAAGGGTATTCTATATGACACCCGAAACTCTTATGAGCGATCTTTTGAGTGGGCTGTGCGATCCAAGCGACATTGTTCTGCTAGTGATCGGTTCGTCTAAAACAAATGCAAAAAACGCTAATACTTTCTATGCTGACTTCAGAGGCTCATCAGATGAAGCACATAAAGCCACTGGGGCGTATGCCTACGTCACAATTGTGAGATACATCACAGATAGAAATCCCTACTTTCGCATTCTGGCCCTGTCTGCAACCCCGGGAAACAAGGTTGAGAACGTTCAGGCCATTGTCGACGCTTTACACATCAGTCGGGTGGAGTGCAGAACCGAGTTAAGTCCGGACGTTGCGAGATATGTGATGAAAAAGGTACGACCTTGGGCCATTATAGTTCGAATGTCCTTACTAATCCGCTAGTGCTAGGATGTTACGTTACATACTGTACAGATGTCCGGAAGAGCGGCAGCAATCAAAGATGTGCTTCGCAGTGCGATTGAGGCACGTATCCGAATGACACCAGGTGTCGTTGTGCTTACGTCTATATCAGCCGATCATCAACGACGTACAGCGTATGGGACTGTGCTTGGGAAGATCAGATGGAGTGTCGTTCTCAAATTATCGTGCGCTAAAGGCACTACGGGGCCAAGTGACCGCCTTGCAGAAGAAGAAATTGCAAGAGCTCGAATTTCTTTCTCGTGCTATGGGACGCCTGGTACGTCTTTCTTCATATTTGAAACCCACTCTTGAGCGCCGTCACGGATATCTGAAACTCCTTCTATATTAGCTCGTGCAAAGTGTGAAGTCATGCTATGAATCCCTACGCAACACGAAGGATTCCAAAATTGCACAGGCCCTCTCTAGAAATTCCGATATCCAGTCAGTAGTACGAACGGTCAAATCTCTCGTTTCTGAAGGCGTGCCGGAGCATCCAAAGTTTGAAATTGTCGGTGGACTGATCTCTGACTTCTTTGGATCTGGCGAAAAAGTTACACGCGCAATGGTCTTCGTCCCCACACGCGAGCTGGCCATAGATCTTGTCGAATACCTCCGCACCAGAAGTCTTGATCTCCGGCCTGTTGCCTTTGTGGGACAAGCGCGAGCCAAGAACGGGGCTGTAGGTCTTCGACAGAAAACACAGATCGACGTACGTACCTCGTGTGCGAGTTTTGACGCCGTTCTAATGCTCGCGTGAAGATAATCGGCAAGTTCAAGCACGGGACGTACAATGTCATGGTCGCGACCTCTATCGGTGAGGAAGGTCTTGACATAGGTGAGGTCGATCTCGTCATCTGTTATGAGGCACAGAAGAATGCAATCAAAATGGTGAGCGAGAGATCCGTTTCTCAGTTTCATTGGTTTACACAGGATCGCCAGCTACAGAGAGTCGGACGCACTGGAAGACGAAGACAGGGAGTGATACACGTGCTGTGTGCGGAGGGCCGCGAAGAAGGTAATTGGGATGTCGCGTGCAAGGCCCACGAAGGTGTCATAAACGGCATTCAAAACGGGGAAATTGTCACGTACGGGGACGTCGAGCGCTTGATTGATGAAAACGTGCCACCGTCCGCGCCAGCGGTACACGAGACAGATGCAGACAAGATAAGAGGCTCAGCAGATTGCACTGGCACTCTCACCGAACGGCATCCGAAAAGGAAGGGGACGCCAAATGCAGGTACGACGTCTGGTCCAGCAATCATTGCCATAGTTTCCGCTTAACCATGTCCATAGCGTTGACAGAACATAGCCATGAAGGCGTCAATGAATTAAAGAGGGCTCGGCTTGGACCGACGCTGTGATCTGCGTGCTTCGGAGTTTACTGACGATCGTCCACAACATCTCAGAAGAGAAGAGGAAGTTTTAGTTTTAGTTTCATACTGCCGTGGTTGCAACAGCAACAGACAAAATTTGAGCGTATCGTGCGCAGTCCAGAACCACACACAACCCAGAACCACTAATCAAAGTATAGGCCGAGCTCCGTTCTCCTTCATACGTGTAGTACATATACTAGACTAGAGGTAAACAACAACCGGCCTCCCGCCGGCCCCCATCTCGCCGGCCGGCCAAGTAGATGTTGGTGGATAATGTAGATAATCATTAAATAAGCTATTCAGGCATTGCCGCGCTACCTAGGCTTGATACCCTCAAACCTTTTTTGTCGCCGATCTCAGCCCACTGCGATATCCCGCCAACGACGGAACACGGCGCTCAGTTTAGCTTGTGGTTCAGCGGATGACGTGTACACGAGTACTAGGTCATCAGAATGTGCAAGAAGGGAGACGAGTACACCTCATAGAACAGGGTCATCGCTACGAGGGAGCAGGTTGACATCGGATAAGAACAGATTCCAGAGCATGGGCGAGGCCGAGTTTCTGATGAGAACTCCGACGTCTCCCTCGAGGGCTTTCGAGGAGCCCTGAAAAGTGCGTACGACATAGGACGTGCGTCTGTAGATGTTGCGCAGCTAGCCAATCATTGGCCTCTTGATGCCCATTCAATGTAGCTTGACCCAGAGCCGGTCTCGATCAGTAGAAGGGAATGCGTTCGTGACGTCGACGGAGGCAACGTAGAGCGGGGTCTTCATTGCGCGTGCCTTCTCGATGAACCGTCGCACGACAAGAGCGTTGTTTGCCGTGCAATATCTTTGCCGCAAGCCACTCTGTGTCGGCGGCAGTAGACCATGCTGACCTGCCCATTGTGTAAGTATTCTGCACGGAACCGTCAACACGCAGGAGTGGGATGGCACAAGTAGAGTCAACATTTTCAAGGCAATGCTCTCCAACCCAAGTGTGCGATAACTAGCCGCGTCGTGCTTCGGTTTGTCGCGCTTCAGAATTTGGACAACCTCCGTAGTCAGCAATACACCAGGCACGTCATTTTTCTCAATACATCGAGAGAAGAGAGCGGCCAGAGCGGCCAGATTGTCGTTTGCTATGAGCATGAGCCCGGGCTTGGACACACCGTCATAGCCCGGTGCAACCTCAAGGGAGCGCTCCCGCATATGCTTCTTCAACCAGGCAATGTCCTTTACACTGAAGAGTTCTGCAAAGAAGCTATCAGGCTTGAGGCTAGGTGTGATGGTGGAGAGGTCGTGCGCTTGAAGTTGCGCAAAGCGCGCGGCCGCACGATCTAACTCGGGCAGCGGATGTTCAGGCTTGTTCATCCGGCGCACAAACTCTAGCGTAAGCTCTGCCGGCAGAACCGTCACCTGCGGCGGGATGACATCGTAGTCATGCTTGATGGTGCGCCAGAATAATCCCGAGTCCCGTGCTGAGCCCAAAAGAAGGCTAAGCTTAGAGTCCTGTCCGTATCGCTTCCTGTCTCGATCCCGATTAGTCTCTGATACCTTGAACGCAGGTTTATTGAGCTTTGGGGGCAGCGCTTACAAAGAAGAGACTTTGTCGAGCGACGACACTGTCACGTCTGGTGCAGTCGATGCAGTAGGCGGCGCCCGCACCCGTTGTTGTCGGTACGGAGTAGTAGCCGGTCCTCCGGCGCCTATCTTGGCGAATGCATCCGCCACTTCGTTACTTTTCTCGCCCGAGTGTCTTAGTACATGCACAAAGTCTACACGGGCTGGGCAGCCGCAAATCCAAGCGGAACAGTCTTTCGAGATGTCGCCTTTTTTGCATGACCACCCCGCGTCCGCATTATCTAGAGCCCACATGGTCACGGACTGAATGGCGTACTGCGTGCGAGTCGGAGTAAACGATGAGAGGAACAAGGTAGTTGCAAGGTGCGACACCTCAATGCTACATTGTGGGTCTGAAGCAGTACGATTCCAAGAGACGAAATCCAGGTTCAACATGTACGATTGGTTGTGTCGATGCCCTAGTTGTAATCTCTTGTCCATCATTTGACGGATCTATGCAAAGTTGACAAAGGGAAAATGAATCAACACTTTCTACACAAGGCGGTCTCAGAATCAGAAGAAAAGCCTGCATGCGTTATGGGTCCGCTCTGCAAGACATGAGGCTGGCAGAAATGTATCGTCAGTCTTTGAGAAGATGCATAATGCGTGGCCACATAACGCACGAAGAAGGTACACAGTTGCATGAGTCTGCTTCAGTCTGAGATTCTGACGCTTCAGTTCTCTGCGGACTACAGGCTTGCCGGTTCTCCAATCCGATGGCTGAGCTCGTTGTACCTGCTGCGCCAAAGTGATGAAATCCGCGTTTCATATATCCCCTGCGCCCAGACGATCCGCATTTCAGTGCCCTTGGATGCAAGTCGAGGTCATGAGCAGGGTGAAACCTCTGGCGCCAGATGGCTCGCGTTCTTGCTCTTTGTTTTGCGGTAAACTTGGCCTTAGACGCAGTGAGTGATAGGATTGACTTGCTGACGCTGTCGTCTGCGGCAACGTATAGTCGATCGTAAGTCTAGATATGACGATAGAAATAAGGGAAGTGAGCATTGCTTCAGAACATAGATGAAAGAACGAAGTACTGTGTCCACGCAAAGAACGGAATCCAAAATTTGCACCATGACGCTCTGGGAAAATAAGCCCCTTCCATAGGCGCCTTTGTGAGACCACGCATGATAGACGTCCATCATGTCCGCGCGAGTGTCTTTTCCTGCTCGTCTGAAGGCCGCTCCAAAGTACTCGGCGATCATGTCTTCGACTGCCTCTCTGTACGGGATACTCCTTCGCTCGACTATCATTCCTATTGCTGTGAAGATGTGCGGGTAGTCAAGATCACGCGCCTGACCAGAGATGAGCCGGCTTCTTCTTGATAGCAATGGCAACTATCAATTCCGTGTCTTACCGTGACTAAGTACGTCAGTAAAACGCACATGATCATCCTGTAGTAGGGAAGATTGTCGCAGGCATATTGCACAAGAATTGGAATAGATCGCTCTGTAATGGGCTGACAGTAGGGAATAAGCTCGTCCAGCGCTCGAAAGACATCTTTAAAGCACTGGGCATTTGGTAGCGTGTTGTTCATAGTCATCGCGTGTGGTTCGTGGAGAAATAAAAAGAACTAGAGCGTAGGCGCTGATATGTCGTGGTCTTTTTAGCGGAGTATGACAGTGACGTCAACGTCTGGAGCTGAGAAAACGATCTGTCAAGCGCTTGTGCTTGCAAAGGTGTGCCGAGTCCTCCAGTTCATGCTCTCTTGTTGTCTTGGACGATGTCAGCAAGCCAAGTCGCAAAGAAGCGTGTCGGTCTGTTGGCTAAAGACACATACATGACATCAAACGCCGAGCCCGACAAGCTAGGAAAACGTTCGTAGACCACACCTTATAGGTGAGTAGCAGTGAGAAGAACGAGTGCTACGGGCTGAATGCATGCTGAGAAGGCTGGATGGGGCGCCGATCCCTATTTACGCGGCGGCGAGCACGGACTGAGTTCGTTCCCCCGTATATCCCCACATCTTCATCTCTCTATGTGTGCTACTAAACTATGGAAGGGTTTATTTATACGCCTTGTGTAAGCGCCGCTGTCAAATCGACGGGGAGTCTGTGGCTACCATAACGGCGGCACGGCCCGAATGCACTGGTAGTTACCCCTTTGTCTCTCCCACATCGCTACTTCTTTTCGGGGTCTACTGAGCCATAAGCACGTCTACATTACATGTTTTTGTGTACCCCCCTCATTCGAGAAGACGTAGAGTTTACTGTTGCCCCACTGGCAACACGCCACGTATGCACTGGCAGAGGCCCCTATTCCGCACCACGCCGCGTTATCGCCGCTTACACAATGCATATTGTCATTCTACGGTTGTACAGCTTTGGACATTATATTACGCGTCGTCTTTTGGGGGCTTTGTTACACAATACCAGCCGTGCTTCTGCAACCGATGTAATAAGGTGGCTTCACCGACCATTCACAACTCTTCACAAGCGCTTTAAAATGTCTCTGCCGGTCACCGCTCGGCCTTGAGCAACTGGAAAGTCATGCTGCGTAAGCACTACCGGACCACAACTGATGTGAAAACATCTTCGCGTCTCTACCTGCTGCAGATAGGCTGTATCCGTGGGAAAAGGCGGGCCTGTTTATAATCCCGATGATGCTGTGAATCTATCTCAACGTGCGCATCCACAGTGCGCGTAAGGCGCTTACGCGGTTCGTTGCCTATGACTACCCGCTCACCTTATGACGCCTGCGCCACAGTATTTATATTGATGTCTGGCACATCGAAGTTCCAAGGAATCCTAGCGGGCGCCGTTTTTGCACGGTACCCATTGAGTCGCCAGACCACGCTCTGTTCATCTGCGTGAAGTCCGAAGCTCTCCTCGCTGCTCTCCTCGCTCGCTTTCCTCATCAAAGCCACAGATATTTGGCCGTCTTTTGTACCGTAGATAGAGTAGAAGGACGCTGATAAGGTTGTACGCGAGCTTCTGAGTCATGACAAAGTTTTAGGCGCTTCGGGCTCTTTCTCCTGCAATGTAGTCGGGATCTACAATGCGCATGTATTGGTCTTGCCGCCCGCATTTGTGATGCAATGACGGATCTTCGCACCACCTGTATTATGAATGAGCGAGAGTGATAGAGTGGATGTTGGTTTGCGTCGTGTTGACCTGCACAGGGACGTGGCATGTGCTTCGGGTTGTCGGTGGACGGCTATGGGTGTGAACCCTGTCGTCTGCTTACTATCGCAAACATTATTGCCACCTCGCGCTGCAGGTATGATGCATGGCGTTCCGTCTGTACATAGGTTAGCTATCTACCGCTTGAGAAAAAGCAAGAAAGTGTAGTCAGTCCTAGCGTGTTGCCAGGTGGTCGGGCAGCCCGCAGATATTGCGTGCGATAAACATCCCAAGATCCAGCCGGTCCTGTTCTGGAACATCACGGTGGTCAACAACTACTACTACTGTGTCTCAGTCTACGTGCATCCCTCTCTCGTTCTAGTTTATAAAATAGACGAGTATACACCAGACTTCGTAACTGCGCCAGGGGCGTTTGACTTGGGTAGGTGCTTGAGGTCAGACGGGCTTGAAGCATCGCTTTCATCGTAGTCATGAGCGTCGCAGCGCTGCATATGTGCGAACAAAAAACACGTTCCGGGGCATAACTAGAAAATCTGATCACGTCTGTCACTTCGATTTGCTTTGTCAAGCCAGAGGGATCCTGAGAAGAATGCCATACACAAAGAGGACCTGTATGTCTCACAACATATGGAGCTCATTGTGTAGCAAAATCTGCACGTGTGAAGTGTTTTAGAATGGTCGCACTTATGTTACACTGTGCAATCAGCATATATTACGAGTACATCTCATAAGCATATTTATGCAGATCAAGGGGGGCGGCGTTACCTGGCTTGTGACGCGGTACGTCCCCTCGGGTGCAATACCATCGAAGAGCAAGAGCTCAGAATAACCGATGATAAGGTCACAATAAACTGGCCACGAGAATTCATCAGAAAGCGGCATTTAACAGGTGCGTGATCAAGACTCAAGTGAGACCACAACACACGTCATGTTTTGCGCGTGAAGCCCCTGAAAGTCTGATTTACATGATTGGCATGCGTCAGGTACAGTAAGGCCGCTGCGTGGTTATCAAGTGACCGCATTACTCGTACTAAAGGCGTTCCCGGGCAGTATGTCGCTATTGACCCCTTCTTCCGACCCATACTTTGGCATGTCGCAGGCAGCTTTTAGCGACACAGACCTCCCATTATGCGTAGAAGTTGATCTTGCGCTCCGTGCAGTCCAACAGTCCAACCTCTCTGATGAGGATGTCTCTCGCGCCAGCGGACTACTCAGGAGCCTTGTCTATCGGGCAATGGCTGCAACAAACTACGATCAGTGCGCGCGCATCTACGAAGATACCGCCTTCGCTTATCGAGACATCCTGCGCGGGACGTTTAACGCAGTTCAGGAGGCGCTTGACGCGTTGCCCGTTCAGACCCAAGCTGAACAGGGCGGTGGTGGCGTTGGTGCAGGGTCGAACAGACGGGCGGACGAAAGCGAGCTTGTGCGTAAGCAGCTGACCGCTCTTCAAGGACAAATGCGTCAAGCCTATGAGGAAAGCGAGGGGAAACGTCGTAGTCTCAACACGCAGTTGGCCGAGGCGGACAATAACATGCAAGACATGGCGCGGCGGATCGAAAACTACCAGAGGGAGCGAGATGCGTCGCTGGCGGAGAAAGAGACTCTCAGGAAGGAGAACAACACTTTGCAGGAGGAGACGGAGAGTCTGAAGGCTGGGTTGGAAGCGTTGAGGGCGGATAGAGACTCACTTCAACGTGACCTAGAGGCGCTGCGCACATCCTCAGTCCATAACATGATGGATGACGCATTCGCAACGGTATCTGGCGGTACATGGGCGAATGGGATTGGAGATAACGGCAACCTTGCGACGGCCGGATTTGGATCTTTCGAATCCAATGGTTTTGGAAACGTCTCAGATGCGACCAATCAGCCTAACTGGATGGAGCTCATGGGTTCTATGACCAATATGGTGTGTGCAATGACCAACGAGTCCCTGAATGACGTTGACGCGGTTTAGCCCTCCATGCCTACCATGACGGTGTCATTTCCACCGGGCAACGCTCAGCAGTTGTCTGCCGTGCCACCACCAGTGCTTCCTCGGTGAATTGCCGTACAAAAGAATCCGGTCCAAAGTCTAGTATCTGAACGGTCTGACAGCTGTGTATTTGTAATGAATTTGTCTTAGCCGGTTGATCTTGAGTGAAATACAAGAAGCCTGGTTCTTGCAATGACGGGCTAGGTATGAATTGAGTTCAGTAGAAACGAGCACAAACCATGGCCTCTGCGCTGCTGAGAGCACATTGATGCCGTCGGAAAACACCTCATATGCTTGGGCAGCCGGGAAAGTCCTACGCAGTCTGTATCTTTGTGCTTTGAATGCACATGGCTGTCTGCGGAGATGTATAGAGGCAGGCAAGGGGCTGCAACATACCGTGGATTTATTTTGAGAATTTCTAGGTCACTCTAGGACCTCAGACAGACGAATGTTTTATGTGCGCGCTCTGGCGGACAATGTTGACATTTGGCGTCGTCAATACTCACTGCTCACAGTTAGAGGGGTTTCTCCGCGAGATCGTTGCCTTGCCCGGGCTGTGAGTCGCGAGTCGACCCACCCGTTGGTAAGGTCCAAGGACGGACATTCATTTAGTCAGACATACTCGTACATATGTATATATACCCTGGTACCATGGAACCGATGTAGAGTGAAAGGCCTAGCTGCGAATGCTCGTTGTGAAAACAAGCATACGCACACAACATAGAAAACAAGAGTAAGTCCCCCCCC